TTTTCCTGATCTGAATAAAATCAGGAGATTAATTTTTATTCCTTTTCATATCATAAACCAGTTTTAAGAAAAATTTTAAATGTAATTTTCAAAGTTAACCTGAATTTTCTCCAATTCATTTTTTAATGAATTCTTATAGAAGGCAAAAAAAATAAAAAGAAAAAAAAAGAAAAAGAAAAAAGTTTATTGGTCTAATCCATGTCCCAAAATCAGACTTGATGATCAAACAAAGTTGTAGAAAGAGCACTTTCAGTGCATGTGTGTGTCGTGCAAGAGGGTAAATCCAGAGACTGATAGTTATTAACTTGGGTTTTAGTTCATATCAATGTTATTAGATATTAAATGCATTGACAAGGAAGATTATGTTGAAAAATAAATGTGTAAAAAAAAAAAAAAAAAAAAAAAATAGATGTTTTCATCATTGAGATATGGACCTAAAATAAATAAAACACACTTGTCATTCCTCTGATGATAATATCACCAGCATCAACAACACCATAATACTATTGTATCCAGTGTCACTCAGACAGATGCACTTTAGATATGCTGTACTCAATAGTTCTATTCAGTTTCATTCATTGAGTTCAGTCTGCTGACAGGGTGACCAATTTTCCATTATTGTTAACAAATATCACAAGGAAGTAACATCAAAAAACAAAGAAAGTGTAGCTGAAGTTAGTAAAACTATGTGACAGAATGAGTTCAGGGGGAAGAGAAATAAGCCCTTAACTGTAAGAAACAAGTCAACTGTGACCTGATTGGACTTGTCCTTTCCAACCAGTTCAGCCTCAGTCATTTAACAACATGAGTATATTTGAACATGCTACCACAGCAGAATAAATTAAATCCCAAATATTTATTACTGAGAAAAGGTTTGTTCTTGTAACAATATTTTTTAAGAACTAATATTATGGATTCTACAGTCAAAGAGGATGGCAATGAGCTGAAATGAGGAAAGTCTTTGTTTCTAAACTGGATTCTGGCCTTACTTCTAACCTCTCTTCATCAGCTAGTGTAAAAGTGGACCACCCAAATTATACAATTGTGTTTTATATCACTTGTAATAATCACAGCTGTTTGAGGTTTCCTATAGACCCACTGAACTTAAAGTCAGTTCAGGTTTGCTATGGTAAAAATTTTCTATCCCAAGTAAAAATCATCACAAAAATGGCAAAAGTCATTTTGTCACAGCTTATTTTCTCAAAAAAAAAAAAAAAAAAAAAAAAAAAAAAAATGATTTTCATACTTTTATAGGGGTAAAATATTGAAAAATGACTGATTTATCAGAATCTAAACAAATATCAAGGAAACTTGATCTGAACCCCATGAAGCTGGGTATTTTCTGAAAGCAAAGGATATATTCTTTCATTTAAGAGTAAAATTGGCTGGTGTAAGTGACAAATTTTTATTTCAGGGGGTAAAATATGAAAAAAAAAAAAAAAAAAAAAAAAAAAAAAAAAAAAAAAAAAAAAGTGAAAATTTTGCATTTTTTCTAGTTCTAAACAAAAACTTTCCCCATTAATAGAAAATTAATCATTTTTTGGGGAAAATCAGAAAGCCTAAATCATAATCAAACTATTTCAGGCATAAAATTGAGAGTTTTGAAAGAAATCAACATTCCTAGGGGGTCAAAATGCAACAAAGTCCATTGGTAATTTTCAATTATATGACTGCCAGGGGTTAAAAAAAAAGTTGACATCCAGCCACGGAATTCTTTAGTAAAAGGGAAAGATTTATCTGCAATTTCTGACCACCAGAAACCTAAAGTAAAATTAAGCCAAATTGACTTTGAAATGTCTGGGTCAAAGGTCAACCAGCAATAAACATTTGGAACAAGTTGTTAGCTTGTAATAAAACCTACCACTCCCAAATAAAAGAAAAGAGTGAAAAAGAGGGTCAACATTGGTAGGACTTGACTTAAGGGTTGTTTTTTTTTTTTTTTAAAACCTATGTTTGAACAATGGCTTGATGTGTTTTGTTTTGAACACCCTGTGATCCGGTAATCACAACAACACTTGTTTTTTTTTTTTTCCGCTGCATGTCTTTCATATTTCCTTTCGCCAGGCCATTTAGCCGTTCCTTTTATTCAATGATGTTCATGCCAAATTAAGGAGAAAGTTTGGATGATATTACTTTGAAGTGAAAATAAGTATTTTTTCATAAAAAAAAAAAAAGAGAAAAAGAAAGGGGGATTTTTCTCAGAAAATTGGGCATAATTTCTTAATGCTAACTGCCAAATCAAAGATTAATTACCAGTGAATAATTCCATGTGCAAACAATAGCTTTCTGGATCCTATAACATCGCCCAAAAAGGTCCAGAAGTTTATTGATTGAATGAAAACTTGTTGCACATTGTGTTTTTCACGGTCAGTTTCCATTATTTCATCTTGATGTTGTCATTTTCGGACAGCCAAGTCATCAAGGATTCAGGAAAACAGTTTGGTATAGGTTTGCTTTAAGAACTTTAAATTCTATGAGGTGTTTAAAATGTTACTGACGAATGGGATTTTTTGCCGGATATTTCATTTACGCGCCATGTTGGATTTTCCTATATGACAAAAATAATCATTTTAAACAGCCGTGTAATATTTACAGATTATTTATCTTTCTATAGATTGTATCCTCAGCTTTTAAAATTTAAGAATACATGGAATAATTAAAATGTTTCATTGAAGTTCAGAAAATTGTGGATTATTATTAAGTGCAGGGTGCAGTACAGGGTGCCCCACAAAAAAACAGGACATTTTATATTTACTATATGATGAAAAAAGAATTAACTATACATTTAACTATGTCAATGAACTAAATAAAAAAAAAAAAAAAAATTAACTAACAATTTTTTTTTTTTTTTAACTATTGTTTCACGATGCTGCAGTTATCAAGTTTTCAATGTGCAGTGATTGTTCTCTTTAAGAAAGAATATCCAACTTGGGAACTGAAAAAATGCCAAGAGATTTTGCTAGAGTTCTTTAGTTTGAACAGGACATCTAACATTTGTGTGTTTGTTCTATTTTAAGCTACTAAATTTCTATCCTTTGCTTTTTGTTTCAAATAACTGTAACAAAAATTCGAACAATTAAATAAACTGTACCAAATTTCCTGGGTTTTTTGTGGGGCACCATGAAGTATAATACTGACGCTCTAGAGTCAATTTCAAAATCTTGATAGTGTTTGGCAAATTCACTTGTGGGATGAGCAGTAAGAATGGTGTGTGTGTATGTGTATTATGATGTGTATTTGGGCAGCAACCTTTCTTTCATTCATCTTTCCTTGAAAACAGCTGATAAGATTTCATTAATCTTTATTGAATTTTTACAGCATTTTTCTGTTTTTCAGGAGTTAAAGAATATAGGAATTGTCCATAATTATAATTGTTCCAAGTGCTTTCGGCTACTTCTCTAACCATTATCAAGGATGTGATTTGGATGGTGAAATTCTGTGTGTGACTGCCACATAGTAATTTTTAAATGTGAAGTTCAAGCAGTTTGTGTGCTTCTTACCAATTCTATTGCCTTGTACAAGACTATGTTACTTGTCAAAAACCAATGACCTATATTGAACACACCACTACCTCACCAACAAATGTCTTACATGCAAAGTGTCATTAATAAACAATTATTAACTCATAACTTCCAAGAACCTTTAAGGAAAATTCTTGTTGATAATACAAGGATCCTTTTCAGGTCACATGGTCGTACACAGCTTGTCATTAGGAAGGCTCTGCTTATTAAACTTTATTCTCCAACTATTTAGCAGAGGAGACCGTGTGTTAAAAGTATTCTAAAAATAGAAGTCTTGCTTCAGTCAACTGGCCGTGTGTAGCATGTGACCACCAAGAATCACACAAATTGCTTGAACTCCACACTGTAAAATTATTATGTAGCAGCCACAAAGAATTTCATCATCCAAAAAACACATCCTTGATAATGGCTAGAAGTAGCCAAAAGTTCCTGAAACAATTATAACTATGGAGAATTCCTATATTCTTTAACACCTGAAATATAGAAAAATGTTAGATTGCTGGAGAAACTCATTAAAGATTAATTAAATCTTCTTTGTCAACCATTTTCAATTAAAGATGCATGCATAGAGAGAGATATAGAACAATATGATTGCATGAGGATCTTGCAAAAGTAACTGGCCAAACTGTTCATCCAAAAATCTTCAGAATGAGATGAAAGTAAATTGAAATCATTTTCTATCTATCCAACAATATTTAGCAGAATAAAAAAAACTCTAAAGATAAGAGAAAATTTTCCATTGTAAATAGTTGATTTCATTGCCCCCACTTTTTTTTTTTTTTAATTTAAAATTCCAAACCATTTTAAATGGACAGCTAAAAGAATGAATATTGTCTGTAAATGCATTTTTATCCACAGCCCATTCAAGCTGGTACCATTAAGTTTTTATCACAATGTGTCAATGCAATCTTTAACTTTGACCCATGTGTATAAAAGTTATTTTCTCCCTTCTTGCACTAAATAAATAGAGGAAAAAAAAATGCATTAGTTGAAGTGTGATAAAGGATAAGGATATTTGTCTAGATCCTTAAAGAGGGAATGTTTTAAATGGTAAGCTTATTCAGTTTAGATTTCATAACCTACAAAACATCCGAGCACAAAAACATTTGATTACTAACACTGAAGAGCTGCATTATTTATTTTAGCAGAAGACAACTGATTAAAATAAATATACTTTTCATTAAAAAACGCCTCATTAGTTGAACTGAACATTAAGTGTTTTATTCCAAGTAGAAAGTAAATCTGCTCAAGATGGAACAAATAAATTGAATTTCCCAAAATATCATTAATGGTGTTGTGACAAATATTACTTTATATTTTTGAATCAGAACTCTTGATTTAATAATAAAAATTCTATTTCTATGAAAAATAGACCTTTTATAGACACTGATGAACAGGAAGTGCAATTATAAAAATGGTGTGAAAAGACAAGGATGGCCATATGGAAAAAAAAAAAAAAAAAAAAAAAAAAAAACTTACCTTCTTCAGCTAAATCTTTATTAATTACTAACTTTCCATGCCGTAGATAATTTAAAATTGGACCAAAATATGTCGGATCTCTGTCTATCAGGAATGCACCAATTTCATCCTACAAAAATAAAAAATTAGAATTTGCAAAATTTCACATTTAGCAAGAAAACAAATGGTTATATTACAGGTAAGACAGACTGTCTTTTAAAGGTAAATGTATGATAGGAAGTAATGTTATTTTCAGAAGGATATGAGAAATATCTTTATTTTTATGCTTTTGGTATGAAGTGACCATATACACTTAAAAGTTGCACAATGTGTAAGTAACATGGCATATATTTAATTCCACAGGAAACTGAACCCAGTACTTACCCGAGTAGATGCCCTTTTTCAATACATAATGGTTAACTGTTAAATCAGCTTAGATGGGTATTGTGTGTGTGTGTTTATATAACGTATACAAAAAAAAATAAAATAAGGGTGTGTTTGTAATAGAAACAGAAGTGAGATATAAAGGGTTATCAGCAGGGAAAACTAAGTTAGTGAACCAAATTGAAATATCAGAAGGTGAGTCTGCTGGTATTCATTTCATACATGATACACACAGGCAATATACCACATTAACTGACGAGAAAGATTATTCACCTCAGGGATTCTTCTCTGGTACTGGTATTATGTATGACTCTTACTACTTTTGACAATACTTATAGGTGATAGGCCCTGTCAATTACCACTCCCTCTTCTGGAGTTGTCAAAAAGAAAAATAAAGTGTAATAAGACATGCCAATGATCTCAGGGTGATAGGACCAACAAAATCCAAACTGAGGACTGAAATTTAATTCAACAACAAAGGAGTTATAAAATTAAATAATATTTTAGGAATAAAGAAAATATTGAACTAACTAAAAAATTACTTTTTCATTTAAGTGGATCTTGTTTTAATTTCATTTTGGTCAAAAAAAAAAAAAAAAAAAAAAAAAAAAAGTGATCAGCTTTCTTTTCTTTTTAAATTGTCAAAATTGCTGTATAATATTAAAAAGGAGGAAAAAAAAATTAGCAACATCTTTAGAATATACTTATTAATTTTAACAGTAACTTAAAAAAAATTATGCAGTTGGAGAAGTTACTGTGAATAATCAAACATGTCAAAAATGGTTTGCAAAATTGTGTTAAACATTTCTTGCTAACTTATACACCTGTTAAGTAAATCAGTTTAAGCTGATAATAGTCAGCTCAAAAACATACTTGAGAATAATCAATGTTATACAAAACAGAAGATAGTGCAACTTGTTAAATTCAGACAGTGAAAGATCCTTTGCACAATTTTGGTTATTTCAGTTACTTTCAGGTGTAACATCAAAATAAATGAGGGGTGTAGTGACTAACAATAAAGGGAATGCAAGAGATTGTGGGTCAAGCGAAATGAACCACCACTAACCACACCAAAAGTGTTCAGTGAAAGAAGTTTAAAAATGTAAGGGAATCCTGTACTATAGTTTTATTTGCTGAAGATACAAACAGGTACTAGTACCAATTAGAACAATAGAAGGCAAACTAAAAGAAATTATGCCACTTTATTTTATGACCAAGCAAAAACTATTATAATTCAGATGGGAAATTTTCCAAACATCCATACATAAATTTATAAGATATTGAACTTTCATATTATTTATGAGTCTTTACAGAATTCTCTTAATAGAAATAGTTTTAACTTTCATGAGGGCTGAAAAATTCATACCTAACAGTTTGTTGAAAATAGTAAAAGCTGATAGGATAGAATTATGAAACTGAAAGGTGGTAGAAAACATAACAAAATGTTAAATATATACATGATAAATAAATTATTTTTACTTATGGAATTGAACAAACATTTTAACCCAAAAATATTACAAAAGCCAATTTCGAGTGGCTATTGCAAAAGAGCTTTTTGCAAAGTATTATCATTAACTTAAGAACCAAGTCTTATTTCTACAAACATGTATCCTCTCTCAGAATTAGGTTTTAATAATGCCTAACAACTCCAATACACCATGTTAAGCCATTCTTAAAACAGCTGCTGTTCCAGATTTTAATTCTTTTTTCATCTCACGATTTGAAGCACGTACTCCATGTTAATCAACCAACCACCACCATTACTGCAACCACCCACTCCTTTACATTGCAGTAACTGAGATTTGGGTTATCGTTTAAAGCCTAATTTAAAAAGAAAAGGTGACAAACTACATATTTGTATAAAAATATTTGTTAGGCTCTTTTTTTTTTTTTTTTTTTTTTTTTTTTAAGACTTGTTTATTCAGATTTATTTTACAGTAAAAGTCCTTCATGCTTTTAAAATGCTCCTTTCTCAATTTTTTCTTTTTTTTTTTTTTTTTTTTTATAGATGTTTTTGTAGTCTGCAACATCTGATATTTGTTAAATCAAACATCAAGTATCATATATCTTGAGAGTTAGTAAAAAGCAGGTCTGGCTCAAATAGTAGAAAAAGAGCTGAAAAAAAAATCTTTAATTCCCAAATGATACCATCTTATATAGGTTTCTCTCCTCAGATTTACTTTACTCTTAATAGAAAAAGCAGGTTTTGAAAATTAAAATGAAGTCCATTTTTCTTTCTTACCCAAAATTGCAATGACAAAATTTAAATGACAATTCAGATGTTATAACATTTCTATTCTGAAATACAAAAGTGATGTGAATTGGCTTTGAATTTAATAAAAATAAATCACATTATTGCACAATTTTAATTGAGTATATTCAATAAAAAATATGGAGAATTTCAAAACCTTAAGTTCTGAATGCAGAATTGAAAACTCTTCTCTCTCTTGATTACAAAAAATGTTAACAGGTACATAAAGAGGAAACACTTGTGTACCCTCACATATAAAACACAATGTAAATCTATAGACAAGGTCAGTTTATTATGCAAGTTAATATTTTCACAAATTAATATTAACCAAACAATGTTAACACACACATGTTTGATCCTATGCAGCAGTGCCAATTTATACTTAAATCGGATAAAAAATGAAAGGTACTATATGCATGCATACAATACTAATAAATAACTGATAACAACAGAGTTATGTATGATAAACTTCTTTTCATGTACATTAGGTATAAATACAAAATATTAAATGATTAATAAAAACAAATAAGTCACAAGAATAATAAGCACAACTACCAAACATATCATATACTGTTCCAGGTTGGATTTTTATGACATGAAAAAATAAAAAATAAAAAAGAGGAAGAGTCCATAAACACTCAACCTGGGTGCTGCTAGTATAACAGGTATTTATTCTCATACCTACATTTAGAGAATAATATAAACTTTTCATTAGTCTGTCCCTCTGAGAGAATTTTAAAAGCATAACTTCTTTCCCTTCTGGACATAACATTTGCATGCATAACTACAGGATGATTGAAAATTAACTCCATTTTAAAATACTTATAATTTATTTATTCCAGGAATTGCATCAACTGATTTTACTAGGAACTCTTGTGGCATGGAAGACATAACTTATTGTATTCACCCTTCAAGTTCTTCCAAATTCTTGGTTTGGTAGACTTTCTTCTGTAACCAACCCCAAAGAAAAAAGGTCACAGGGTGTTAAGTCAGGACTTCTGGCTGGTCACTCATACATAAAATAGGGAGTTACTTTTCAATCATTGTGTATATTGTTCTTTAAACTTTTTCATTTCACCTCTGGTGTTTCCCTGTGTTAGTTTTTCAATTTCCCCAAATATATAGAACACTGCAGAACTGACATATCATCATCTTGTAAAAGATTTGTGATTATAGTCTTTATTTTTATGGTCCTTCTGAGGGGAAAATGTTTCATTACTAATATTTTATCAGGTTAACTGAAAACTAGAGATGAACCCAATAGTCCCACAATCATGCTACCAAAAGGCTTTGGAAACAAAGATACTATAACCACAAAACTTCTATTAAGAAGGTAATATGCCAATAGTATACACACACACACACACACACACATGAATGCTGAAAGAATTTCTGGCCTGACTAAATAAAAAGGGATTTAAAAAGGAGAAAAAATTCTGAGATATGATCATTTTGGGAAATTAGTAGAGTTAAGAACTTTTCAATTTTTCATTTCACACAAAAAAAAAAAAAAAAAAAAAAAAAAAAAATCAATAGTGATACTTAACACACAACATGAAGGACCATTATACAATGGTGACAGATCAATATCAGGATTTGAAACCGTGACCATATTTTCCAATTCAAATCTTAGCAATATGTCATAAGATAATGTAAGAGCATAATACAATTTCAATCAGATCATCATTCCCTTAGAATATTAGATTTGAAGACAAAATGTTGCAATAAAACAAAGAAAATATTCCAGTGTATGATCGGTGTTCCCTAAATAAAAAAAAAAAAAAAAAAAATACTTCAATCTCTGATAGAGATGAAGTTAATTAGCCATAATTAAATCATTAAAAGAGAAACTTGTAATTTAATAATCCTCAAAAAGGTATTCCACTTTTGTGATTTTGTAAATAATTAAGCGTTTGTAAATCTGTAAAACAATTTTACTTTGTCTATGTTACAATCAAACCTAAATAATGGATCACATACTCATTAAAAAGAAGTCAGTGATTGGTAAAAAGTTCAGATATTTAGAATAAAGACATGTAAGAATGAATTAAAAACAATCGATTTTGTAAACAAAATTTAAAAGAAAGACTGAATGATGAAGATAAAGCCTTGGAGGTATTGGTTCATTTAATTTTATACTTGGAGTTTGCATTTGATAAACTAAACACAAATCATTGTTTTTAATAATTCAACCAATATTTCAAGCAAAGAATTTCCAGATAAAGTTGCATATGTACTGGATCAATCAATAAAGTTAGAAACTAATTCCTTGACATTGGAGGTGAGCATATAAAAAAATGGTAAACTAGTTTTGAAACTAATGTACTCTTATACATAAATTTAAATACAGTGTCAAACTTGTTACAATTGAGATATGAGCCATTAACTAGATAAGAGTAGAGTGACTGAAGGCCATAGAAATCACAACATATATATCTTCCAGATAGTAAAATGTTGAAAATTCAAACTTACTAAACCCTATCTGATAGTCAAGT